AACGATAGATGAAATTAAACTAAAATAATGAACAGAGTTCGTGCTTTCCACGTTTTTTAACAATAACAATCTTCGTCGGGTAAAAATGCTTCGCTGCTAATCTGTTAGTAAAAGGCAGCTAAACATGCTACATCTATTAGATAGGTCTCATTTACTTTGTGTGATGGAATTAGACAATTTAATCAAATATATCTTACACGTAAGTAATTTGTCTCATGTTTACTTTGTCTAATAGAAATTTCTGAAACTAACTAAGCATTTACTATATGGGACTAAATGAGATGATAAAACTTGAAATGACAAATTTACTCGTGTACACAAAGTGAATGGTAAATTATATGATATTGAGGATTTTTTTTTCGAAACGATAGAAATATTATAAAAACGAAAACCACAAACTTTTTTTTATAGACATTAAGGGTTAATCTTGTCTTTTCGCATGCAAAAATGAAGGCAAAATAGTTAAATCGAGATTGGGATAACATATAAATGATACCTCTGTGGGGCCCACATGCCACATATATGTCACATAAGGTAAGTCCAATCATATTCCTGCAATGTAAACGGGAGAAAATAGATAACTTTAATTATCCTAACTAAAGTAATTGAAAAAACTCCTAACTTTAATTATCATGTCCTATCAACTAAAGTAAATGAGGCCTTAATAAACTAGTATATAACTCGTACAATGTACAAGGTGTAATTATTTTGGAAAAAATAAATAAAGTGAAAGTCATTAGTCAATAAGTTATATATGTAGGACATTCATAAAGAAATAATAAATTTTTCATTGTCAATTAGTCACACATTACTAAAAATTTCATTGTATACAGCATTATTAGTAGACGTGGCCACGGGCCACCCGTTCCAGACCCGGTCAAGCCCGTTGACCACGGGTTCGGGCCCAGCTCGGATTTTAACTGGGTTGGACTAGGGCCTTGTTTTTTCGACCCTGGCCCGGCGGTCTGAGTCGGGTTCGGTCCGGCACGGAAAAGACACATGGTTTTTAAATTTTTTCTTTTTTATTTTTATTTGGACAGGCCAGATCCGGGTCCGCCGGGCCATGGACCCAGCACGGACCTAGGCCGCGCCGGTTCAGGGTCCATGAAACCCAACCCGTCGGCCGGGCCGGGCCCGTGTTTTGGTCATGTCTAATATTAGTTTGAGCATGGGTAACCCATCGTCCCCACAAATAAAATATGGTATAAATTTAAACTGATATTATTTANATTTAAAATATCATATTTAATTTGTATTAATAGTAGTTGAATAGAAAATCGAATACCATTATTTTACTTAAAAAAATTATTACCATGATTGGTGGATTTTGTATTTATCTATTTTATTCTCTAAGTCTAATTTTATAATCAATTCTATTCCAATCTTTGGAACAAATTTGAAATGTAAGCTTTAAAGTAATTTTGTTACATTTAAAAGGATATTTATATTGTATCTATCGCATAACACTATTTAAAATAAATAAAATCGTTATGTTCAAATAAAAAATTTATTTATGAATAGAACTCTCATTTATAAATCAGATTTCCATAATATTGCATTTCAAATTTATCTTTTTTATTGTAGCGTCATTGTTTGTACTCTATAAGGTCCCCACAAATTACAATGAATCAGACTGAATATGGAACTGCTTATACTAAGACTAATTGAAAAACTAGCACGGGATTGTTTTGCTCGGTAGCAAAGATCACATTTTTTAGTTGAAATCAAAGAGCATGACTCAACAGAAGGAAACTGACCAAGAACAGTAGAAGTGGGATGACCCATCTGCTGGTGCCACAAGTGAGTCGAAATCGAAGTCACCCGAGAAGCGTTTGCAGCGGTCGTCCCTCGAAAGAAATATAATCCCCCCAACTGCTCACTCGCTCCAATCACCATCCTCGAAGTGATGTCCTGAATAGCACAATATTTACTAGTGAAAGTAGCAACACATCCATATTGTTCTAATAACCGAAATAGAGATATCAAGTTGCAATGAAGACTGTCAATTAACAAGACATGATATAAAATAATAGGAGAACCGAGATGGACATTCCAAGCTTTGCATGCAGTGGTGAGCGTGCCGTTAGGAAACTGAACAGAATTGAAAGGGGCAGAATGTCCCGAATATCAGAAAAAAAATTCCAAGAAGCCAGTCATGTGATGTGAAGCACCGCTATCGTACAACTACTCAAATGGACAACGCTTACCGGATAATGGATCACTGTTATGCGTCTGATTTGGATATTGTTAGTATATATACGATAAAATCTCGCTTAATTGTTAATTATGTTGTTCATTTGGATATGCGATTTTTATATCAGGTATAATTTCGTTAGTTGTAGGAGTGAAAAAGAAGTTTTCTAATGTGACAATGTTTAACATGCAGGGTCCCTTTATGTATTTTTTTTTTTTCGCTGTGTTATGTATTTTCGCCGGGAAAGTGGTGTATGGAAAAGCTATAGTACATGGCACATGTAATCAAGCCCAAATAAATTGGGCACAATCTGCTGCCAGCTCTAACCATTTACTTGGTAGGTCTTCTCTTCTTTCATCGTTCATATTTCGCGCCTATTCTCTTCACTCGATCAATTGATTATACTCCACTGGGGAAGTTTCAGATTACTGTCCGACAATGAGGTGAATCTCCTGATCAGCTACTGGTAATCCACTTACGAACAAATGGGTACCACTTTCTTATTTTAATTTCTTATTTTCTCCTTGGGACTGATTTTGTCGTCCAATTTTGGTGACTGCACGATAATGTAGTCGAGTGGAAGGTATGTGAATTTCATGGTTGATTTTTTTTACGAGATTGAAACTTGGCACGAGTTTTTTTTTTATCTTTTGTAGACATGAGGAAGCCAAAGAGAGTGCGGTTTGTAGGTGATGAATTGGGTAGTGTTCCTGTGCGCGATTCTCCAGAAAGGCATGAAGCAACTGCTGCTGAGTCCCCAAGATGTTAGTCTGATTTTGGTCTTCCCTTAGTTACTGGTTACTTGTTTGTATTCTGTCATGAGTTTTCAGGACCACATTTAGGATTCATGATTTATATTAACTCTATTAAAGTTACACATATATTGCAGCCGATGATGCCCCCAAAACTTCAGAATTTGCGTATTTCAGGAAGGTGAAGAGTCGGGTCATTCACGGCCATTCTTGTTCATTGGGTCAAGAGAACGGAAAATTAAAGATCCCCAAAATTAGTAGCCTTATTAAAGGTAAAATTTGGCTATCTTTTCTTGCTTATGTTAATTTACAGAGAACTAGCGTACACTCTACGACATGAGCACTGAATTTACAGATATCAAGTAAATTCCTTATCGAGCGCAATTGGTCGGTAAAAAATTGCTGTGCACTTAATTGATTTGCAGAGACAAATCATGTTTCTGATATAAGTGTGACACATACCTGCACAAAGGATTTCAAATGCTCAGATAGAGGAGAAAGAGCAGGACCATCTGACCCTAACCTTTTCCTATCACCACGTGTTGGTAAATATGACGAACCAGATCAGACAAGTTAAGGCTACAATTCAGTCTTTTGTGAGGAAATCCTTCTAAGTGACTCTTGTTATTACTTTGTATTTACATTTTGACTTGATGCAGAGAAAACTGATAAAAACCAAAATATGTTGTCATCTGTCTATGAGAATGATAAATCTGTTGGTCAGAGTTTGCTGCTGTCACCAGCTCATGAAGCATCAGAGGACTCAGGTTCACTTACGTGGCTTTTCCTGTTTTCACGAATACTTACTAAAATGTTATTTCCCGTAAGAGAGCCAACAAATTTGTCAGTTGAATCATACATGTTCTGATATCTTTCTGGGATAGTTGCACTGTCATGTAGCCGTTTAATTTATGCCCCTATAGTGAACAGGCACACAGTATTATGCCCCTATAGCAAACAGACATTATGAAATCTAGGAAATCAATTGAATTAAATTCCATGATTTCATTTTTTTTCCTTATAAGTCAGTTGTTTTCGCAATTCTATGTATGTGATAGACTCCATCTTCACTGTTGTCCCCTTTCATCTTGTTTCTTTTATTTACCATGTCCAGAAAATGAATATGGCGAGAACAGAATATTTTCTGCAAAGAGACGCAGACTACAGCAGTGGGCTGCTCATACTTTATTTCCAGAAACAGAGAAGCCTGTTCCTAAAGGGTTAGATATGAATATTAATTGCATCTTTAGCTAACTTTACAAAGACCACTTTCCTTGTTGAGTAAGTTTTATGCTTTCCCCCAGGTTCGATTTTGTTTCTGCACTGATGAACCGGTTGTTCCCTAAAAACAATGGCGATAACGTATGATCTTGTAACCACCCTTTTAGGTGTTGATTCATGCCCACTAGTTTGATTCATATATTTTAATTTGCAGGACATATCAGAAAGAGAGGCAAATAACAGCAGTAAATCCCTCATACTTCACAAGTCTAATCCTCCGGACAAGGGACTTCATTTGTCTCATAAATGGGATTGGAATAAGTACATAACAAATACTAGTCCTGGCAGACCAAATGGAATTATAATTTCAGAACCCGATGCCTTAGTTTCTCAATTCCCTTCTCACAATTATGTTACAGAAACTCTAGTGCAGAATTTTCCTGATCAACACCCAAGGAGTCGTATACACAGAAGTGCCAACGCACAACATGGTTTTTCTTTCTTCCTACCATTTGACAGATATAGACAAGCCGAGTCTTGTCATTTCAAAATAACTGATTGTCCAAGAACAGAATGTGTTAGACCTTTAGTTGAGTGGGACTTTCATTTGGGGAAAGATGAAGCTTACTCTCCCATTTTTAATCGAGAACCTGAAAGGAATCTGTACTCAGGATTTTCCTCCTCTTGGACTGTTGATGAAAACCGAACTTTAGGTCATGTGTTAGACTCCAGAAGTTTTCCAAACTATTTTGTAGAGTTCGACTCACTGCCCAACACTGGACTGGATTTAGAAGCAAATTTCAAAGACGTGAAGAGTACATTGATTGAACCAGGGCAGTTTTCTCTAGCTTTACCTTCCACTCCAAGATATATCACACTAGGAGAGGATACAAACGCAGGCGGAAATATAATCTGTGACCAAAACATGTTTTTCTCCTACAGCGACCACCAATGGCTTCAGAACAAGCCTCAAAGTGAATTTTGGCAGAAAGACTCATTGGCTTTGGATTTCTATGCAGAAGATTATCCTTCGACTTTTCATGCTTGGCAGTTTCCAGAAAACGAGAGCAATTTGAGCTCTCTTTCAAAACTAGAGGCAGATGCTCGGGGAAATTTAGCTCTGTTTTCTGGAGGTTTGTCTTTTAACCGTAATTCTCGATCTTATGATCTTCAACCCTCTCTTGATAGGCTCATGAACCGTCCTTTGTTGCTGGATCACATCAGTAGAGAAAGGTCTGGCCAAGAATTATTTTGTAATGTTGATGATGATGATGACTGAGATACTGAACTGTAATGTATATGAATAAGTTGTACTTGTCGACAGGTTGAGTTTGCTGGCATTGTTGGCTACGAGGATTACACAGTTTCTTCATTATAGTTTTGTTCTTTGAGTGCATTAGTCATGCATGTCATGAAGTCTCTAGGTGGATCTCATTCTCAAGCATTTCACTTCCAGCACTAGTGTTGTATTATCTCATGAGAGAGTGTCTTTTGTTTTCTCCTAAAATATAAACCCTTTACAAATGGGAGTTGGAAGGGAGGTTAAGAGGATGCTTGGATATAAAACTTATCTAAAAAATCTAAACATTTTTAATTAACCATTTTTTTTAACTCAACCCAACTATCATTAATATTATTAATATAATTAAATAATATCAATTAATCATTCTTACACATCACATCAACCTTAATTCACTCACATTATTTTAACTAACCATTACTTCAAATCATCTCTTTCATACTTTTACATCAAATTAACTTTAACTATTTTATTTTAAAAATTATTTTAATATACCCACTAACAACTAACCATACCATATTTTTCAAAATTAACCAAACCAAACTAAAAAATCTAAACAAATCCAAAAATTTTTATATCCAAGTCTGTAACAAATATTTCTTATTGGTGTTGCAATTCATAATCAAATAATAATTAGTTATTTCTTATTCTGAGAGATACTTGAGAGTTTTTCTTNTAGCCAACTCATCCGCACCAGCTCACCCAAGTTTCAAACTTGTGTGTCTAATGTCTATATACTCAAGTTATGTACACACCTAATAATTTGCTCTTTTTACTTTATGAAGTGATTACGCAGACGCCTACTGCTCTATAATATATTTACGAAGGATCAGTGAAGTTAAAATGAAAAATTGTCATTGTTTCTATTGCTCTTTACTTTTGATCAGTTGATGAATATCTCCGGCACTTCCTTCTTTCATTCATAACAACTAAAAAAAGGACCACAAGTGTTCCATCGGTAATGCTTCTCTTTAAAGGCACACGAATTATGACAATAAATAAATACATTCCTTCGCAACTTTGGCTTGTACATGTAGCCAAAGAATTATGTGGAGTGTACAAAATACTACTCATTTATAAATTTATTTTATGAGGTGGCATTTAATTTTAATTTATTTCTCTTGGTTGTACTTGTATCTAGCAATATATCCAATTTACAGTTTACTAGTTTTACCTCGTGCATTTGTACGAAAAGCGATATAATAGAAGAGAAAGTAATTAAAAATAAAATAAAAATCATAACTTAATAAATGAGAAAAGAAATAATTTTAAAAAGTAAATCTAAATATTATTAAACACTTCTTTATATACAACATTCGTGGTTTTCCTATCGTCAGAATTCTTATCACAACAAATCAGTATCGTTAAACCCATTCGACTCGTGACTCTGGGATTTGATTTTTTAAATATCTAGAAAAAATATTTTTTTATTATTGTATGACTTCAATAGAAAATAGAGATATATGTAGTCATTCTTAATTAGTTGTGAAATATGTATTTTATAATACCATAAAATATATAGTATCAATATAAAACTAAAAACATTTTGTATTTCAGGATATAAAAAAAGGTTTCAGAAATAGGCACCATCCAAAATAGGATCTATCAAAATAAATTGTGTAACCGAAAGTTACATGTTTTTATTAAATGTTGGACATCTTTTATNCTGGCCCTCCCAGCTCCAAGTTGGCCCCACCTATCCAGCCGCTGGTCCCAAGTGATCGCTCGCTGGCCCTCCCAGCTCCAAGTTGGCCCCACCTATCCAGCCGCTGGTTCCCACCGAAGTAATCGCTCGCTGGCCCCTCAACTTCATATTGGCCCCACCTATCCAGCCGTTGGTTCCCACTGAGTTTCAGCCTCCCACACTGCCGCTTCTAGTCCTCAGTATTAATTATTCCACCATTGCGCTCCGGGGGGCTCGAACCCTTGACCTCATGTCAAGGGTGCCTCACTCTTACCACTAGACTAAGAGGTCATTGGCAAATGGTTTTCTTTTTGATTTGTTATTCTACGTAATAAATAAACAAAATGTTCTGATACATCTAGAAAGCCGAAACCAAGATTAGGACTTTTTGACCCAAGAAAGGGGAGTAGTCCCTTTTTTGGGTCTTCTTGGGTCGAAGATTTCTTGTGTTGAAGACTATGAAGAAAAATAATGACTCGCATAATTGTTCCCCGCACTTATAGTTCGTTCTATTCCCCGGTTACTTATCTTATGCTAATATCTCTTCTTAATGCTAATATTTATTCCAATTTTATTCTATTTGAGCTTGAATCAAATTGATCCATTTTAGGACGTTGAACTCTAGTATGACAATAGTAACATAGTCGGACCAATTCAATTTGGCTAATATAAACAAAGAAGGAGGTGGTAAAGTCAACTTTATTATTAATTGCTGGTTGAATAAAATTTATTGAAACTTGTCAGCAATTATATATATATATATATACAAACAACTAACCTAGCAACTACAGACAACTAACCTAGCAACTACAGACAACTAACCTAGCTACTACTAACTTAGCAACTACAGAGAACTAACCTAGCAACTACAGAGAACTAACCTGGCAGCAAGAAAGAAATAACCTAGCAACAAAAGACAACTAACCTAGCAACAAAAGACAACTAACCTAGCAGCAAGAAAGAACTAACCTAGCAACAAAAGACTTACATCACCGGGTGTATTTTCTACTACCTCGGCTTGGGAGCAGATCAGGCTGAGGGATCGGCCTAATCTCCTCTTCGGGGCCATCAGGAATGACCTTTTCACCCCTACTATTTCGGTGTTCCTTTGGCACCTTCTCTTGCGCCGGATACCCGTCGATACTGTGTTACACGCGAGGGGGATTTCCTTCCCCTCTCGGTGTGTGTGTTGTTCTGAGATTGGACGCCATGAGACCGAGACCTTTACCCACCTTTTTCTAGAGAGTGAGATTGTGAGGAGAGTGTGGGAGCATTTTGCCACTTGGACACATATATCCCTAACCACCATATACAATTTCTTTGAGCTTCTGAGTTTTTTCTCACAGAGCACACACCTTAGACACGTGGGCTTCCTCATTTCTTGTCTGATCCTTTAGTTCACCTGGACAGAAAGGAATAGTGCGAAGCATAGGGATATTACTTTTATGTTTTCTCACATTGTTTTGCAGGTAGAGAGACACATTTCACTCCTCATCGCATTGGGCAGGCTCACGGCCCGAGACTGGACAGGCTGCACGTCACCACATCGCTACATGGTGGCCCCACCACCGCCTGTTCGGCACCCTCGGCCCAGAGCTGTTGTTTGGCTTCCACCTGACTCTCCGTGGGTCAAGCTGAACACTGATGGCTCCTTTGATCGCCTCACTGGAGTTGCCGGAGGAGGAGGCTTGATCCGGGACCACAGCGGCGCCCTCATCACCGCCTTCCGCGCGTCCCTTCAGGCCTTCTCGAGCTATGATAGAGAGATTCAGGCATTACAGGTCGGCCTTCAGATTGTTGTCGACCTCTCTAGCCACATTTGGATCGAGCAAGACGCTGCGGCTGTCGCCACCCTTTTGACCTCGGGCCACCAGGGCTCGTGGCAGATTCAGCACCCGCTTATGCGTATTAGAGCTCTACTCCGGTCTGTCCATCACAGGATCACGCCCATTTTCCGTGAGGGGAACAGACCCGCCGACTATCTTGCTAGCCTTGGCGCCACAATACCAGATACACATACATTCCAGACTGACACTGCTCCACTCCGCCTTCGCACGCTTGTTCGAATGGACCAGCTTGGATATCCATCTTTCCGATTTTAGTAGATTAGGTTTTTGCTTTCATTAGTCTAGACATTTACTTCGGGCATCTGTTAGCCCGAAGATCGACTTTGTATTGTAGTTCCTAGTCTTTTTTAGTTTTTCGGTTTTCTTTTTCTTTTTGGTTCTTTTGTTTTTTATTTTGGTTCGTGACACTCTGTAGACTATTGTATCTTGTTCGTTGATATTTTGGGCCCCGATTTTGGGGTCCTGATCTATGCACAGATTGGGGATCCAGCCCAATCCCCCGCCCTTCTGGGGCGTTGTTTGTTTTAAAAAAAAAAAAACCTAGCAACAAAAGACAACTAACCTAGCAGCAAAAAAGAAATAACCTAGCAATTTAAGACAACTAACCTAGCAACAAAACTCAACTAACCTAGCAGCTACAATTAACTATCCTAGCAACAACAGACAACTAACCTAGCAACAAAACACAACTAACCTAGCAGCTAAAGATAACTAACCTAGCAACAAAAGACAACTAACCTAGCAGCAAGAAAGAAATAACCTAGCAACAAAAGAAAACTAAACTAGCAGCAAGAAAAAAATAACCTAGCAACAAAAGACAACTAACCTAGCAGCATCAGACAACTAACCTAGCAGCATCAGACAACTAACCTAGCAGCAAAAAAGAACTAACCTAGCAACAAAAGACAACTAACCTAGCAGCAAGAAAAAAATAACCTAGCAACTTAAGACAACTAACCTAGCAACAAAACTCAACTAACCAAGCAACAACAAACAACTAACCTAGCAACAAAACACAACTAACCTAGCAAGAAAGAAATAACATAACAACAAAAGACAAATGGCCAACGGTCAACGTCGGAAGTCAACACTAGAAGTCAACGATCAATGCCGGAAGTCAACGGTCAACGCCAGAAGTCAACAATTTTCGTCGGATGTTAACGGTCAACGCCAGAGTCAACGATCATAATAATATTTAAATAATTAAAAATAAAGAAGTAAATAATAAAAATATAGAATTATTATTTAAAGCAAGATCTAAATCTTGTGGCTAGGAATGAGTCTCACGTCCTCACTTTAAATAAGCGGATGCATTTGAACCAATCCATATATATATATATATATATATAAGACTCATTTTTAGCCATAAGATTTGGTACATATCATGTGTGGCCAAGATTTACTCTTTTTTTTTATTATTTTAATTATTTAAATATTATTTTGACCCGTTGACTCCGGCATTGACCGTTGACTCCGGCGTTGACCGTTGACTCCGGCGTTGGCTGTTGACTTCCGATGTTGACTTTCGGCATTGACCGTTGACAACTAACCTTCCAACTAGGTTAGTTCTCTGTAGTTGCTAGGTTAGTTTTCTGTAGTTGCTAGGTTAGTAATTGCTAGGTTAATTCTCTGTAGTTGCTAGGTTAGTTCTC